AAGGCCACCTCAGTTAATCCATATGGTTTAACACCATGCTGATCAGACCAAGAATTTAAGGCCAGGAGGGAAAGGCCAAGTAGGACTTGGCATGGGGGTGTAGGTAGCAGAGCTGGGCAGGGAGTACAATAATGGAAATATGGCCAAGGGTCTGGCTGGAGAAATGGCCAGGTGGGCAAGGAGAGGGAACAAGGCCAGGTAGTTAAGGTCAGGGAGAAAAGACTCGATGCTAACATTAATTAAATAAAGATGCATGACTCAAAATGATTCCCTAAGGGCCAGTTTTTGAGGCAATGAGACGGCAAAGTAAGGTGAGAGGCATAAGGGCACCAAGGGACACTTAAGCCTCAGAGCTTAAGGCCAGGGTGTGAAGGGCAGCTAAGTAAAAGATAAGTGGTCAGCACCAACTGGTAAGGCTGTGTCAAGGGTGGATGGCTAAAGCCAGGTGGCTCAAGACATAAGGATGTGGAGGGAGGAGGAGGCGTAGACAGGACCCAGGTGGAGAAGTAGGAACTCTAGGTAGGGTCGGGGACCATGGCTGGGTTGACCTGTAAAAAATCCCGGGAGGGTGGGACAAGGATTAGCGGGCTGGCTAAGTAAAGATTGGTGGCTCACACCACGTCGTAAGGCGGTTTTGGATGAAGGGATTAGTAAGGCCAGGGTTGTTTGGGCAAGGGACCAGGGCACAGGTGGAGTGCCTAGAAAATAAGGAGAGAAAGTTTAGCCAGGACAAAAGTGCCCCTTAAATAAAGATAGGCCAGTTAAATACAGATAGGTGGTAAGCACAGTTAAGCCGAGTGTTGACTGCCCAGAGCCTCAAGCCAATTGGACAAAGCCAGGTAGGGTTGGGAATGGGGATATGGTCGGGGACAGAAATGTGGATAAGCCATAGGGCCAGGGGAGTAATGTCTTTGGATAAAGTAATGAACAATGACTTGGTGATAAGGCAAGCTGGCTTAGGCCAAGAATTAAGGGCAGCCAGGAACGGTGAGGATTCAGGCCAGGTGAAATAGGTGGCAAAGCACCAGTGTTATGGGCCTATGACGAGGACCAGGAACACTAGGCCAGGGGTGTTTGGGCACAGAACTGGGGGCTAGGATGTTAAAATAACCTTGAACTTTTAATCCTTCCCACCTAACCTACCACTTTGTCCAGCGTATAACTAACCATCACTACCTACTTCTTTGAGTTTTCTTTCTTTTTTTTTTTTTTTGGTGGTACTGAGGATTGAACCCAGGGGCACTTAACCTCTGAGCCACATCTCCAATCCTTTTTTGGGAGGGGGGTTACTGGGGATTGAACTCAGGGGCACTTGACCACTGAGCCACATCCCCAGCCCTATTTTGTATTTTATTTAGAGACAGCACCTCTCTGAGTTGCTTAATGCCATTTCTGAGGCTGGCTTTGAACTCACGATCCTCCTGCCTCAGCCTCCCAAACCGCTGGGATTACAAGTGTGTGCCACTGTGCCTGGCTCCTTTTTTTGTTTTTTATTTTCAGACAGGGTTTCACTAAGTTTCTTAGGGCTTCACTAAGCTGCTGAGACTGGCTTTGAACTTGTGAACTCCTGCCTCAGCTTTCCGAGTGCCTGACTTTCTTAATAGGTACATTCTGGTTGTATATAATGGTGGTGTTTGTTATGACATATTCATATGTGCATGCAATAGAACAATATAATTTGGCCAATATCACCCCCCCCCGTGTTTCCCCCTTGCCTTTCCCTCCTCCCTTCCCCCGACCTCTTTCCTGGGTCTTACCGATCTTTCCTTGATTTCATGAGACTGCCCCCACTTTTCTTTTCCTTTTTCCTCTCTCTCTAGCTTCCACATGAGAGAAAACATTCAACCCTTGACCATCTGAGTTTGTCTTATTTCCTTTAATATAATGGTCTCAATTTGCATCCATTTTCCTACAAATGACACAATTTGCTTTTTCTTTATGACTGAATAAAACTCCATTGTGTGTATATATACCACATTTTTTTTAAAAAAGAAACACTTCTATGTTTCTGATGATTTTTTAATTTTAATATTATTTTTCAGGTGTAGATGGACACAACACAATGCCTTTATTTCTATGTGGTGCTGAGGATCGAACTCGGATCTCGCCCGTGCTAGGCGGGCGCTCTATCACATTTTCTTTATCCTGTTGATAGACACCTCGGCTGGTTTCATAGTTTGACCATTGTGAATTACGTTGTTATAAACATGGCTATGCATGGATTGCTCTAGTATGCTGCCTTTAATTCTTTAGGATAAATACCAAGGAGTGGGATAGCTGGGTCCTATGGTGGTTCCATACCTGGTCTTTTGAGAAGTCTCCATACTGATTTCCATAGTGGTTATAAATAATTTACAATCCCATCAACAGTGTCAAAGTGTTCCCTTTCTTCCACATCCTCTCCAGCATTTATTATTGTTTTATTCTTGATGACAGTCATTCTGAATGGAGTGAGATATAATCTCAGTGTAGCCGGGCACAGTGGTGCACGCCTGTAATCCCAGCAACTCGGGAGGCTGAGGCAGGAGGATCATGAGCTCAAAGCCAGCCTCAGCAACTTAGCAAGATCTTAAGTAACTCAGAGACACCCTATCTCTAAATAAAATACAAAAGAGGCCTGGAGATGTGACTCAGTGGTTAAGTGCCCCTGGGCTCAATTCCTGGTACCAAAAAAAAAAAAAAAAAAAATCTCAGTTTTGATTTGCATTTCCCTAATTGCTAATGGTGTTGAACATTTTCTTATGTATTTGTTGGCTATTTGTATTTATTTGAGAAATGTCTATTTAATTCATTTGTCCATTTATTGATTGTGTTTATTTTTTGGATGTTTTTTGATTCTTTATATATTCTAGATATTAATCCTGTCAGAAGGGTAGCTTACAATGATTTTCTCCCATTTTGCAGGTTCTCTCTTCATATTCCTAACTGTTTCCTCTTTTGCTGTGCATAAGCTTTTTAATTTGATGCCATCCCATTTATTCTCTTGGCATTATTTTCTGAGGTTTACAGGTCCTATTGGGAAAAAGGCGAGCTGGAGATATAGCTCAGTTGGTAAAGTGCTTGCCTTGCATGCACCAGGCTGTGGATTCAATCCCCAGAACCACAAAAGAAAAAAAAAGAGAGAGAGAGAATATTATTGCCTGTGCATGGTTTCTGGGCTAATTCTGAGGTCTTTGATTCATCTTGAGTTGATTTTTTTGCAGGGTGAAAGCAAAGGATCTAGTCTCATTCTTACACACATGGATAACCAGTTTCCCCGGCACCATTTGTTACAAAGACTGTCTTTTCTCCAATGTTTTTGGTGTCTTTGTCAAGAATCAGTTGACTGTATCTGTGTGGGTTTGTCTCTGTGTCTTTTATTCTGTACCATTGGTCTGTGTGGCTGTTTTGATGCCAGTACCTTGCAGTTTTGTTACTATAGCTCTGTAGTATAATTTGAAGTTAGATGTGATGACTCCGGCTTTTTTTGGCTTAGAATTTCTTTGGCTGTTCTGGGTCTTTTATTCTCCCAAATGAATTTTAGGACTTTTTTTTTTTTTCCGAGTTCTGTGAAGAATGTCATTGGTATTTTTATGAGAATTGCCTTGAATCTATATATTGCTTTTGGTAGTATGGCCATTTTAACAATATTAATTCTGCCTATCTATGAACATGGGCCGTCTTTCCATTTTCTAACATCTTTAGTTTCTTTTTAATGTTCTATATAGTTTTTATTGTAGAGATCTTTTGCCTCCTTGGTTAGATTTATTCCTAGGTTTTTTTTTGTTTGTTTGTTTTGTCTTAAGGTATTGTGAATAGGATTGTTTTCCAGATTACTGTCTCAGCAGATTCATTGTTGGTACATAGAAAAGCTGTGGATTTTTGAATGTTGATTTTGTAACCTACTTCTTTGCTGAATTTATTAGCTCTAGCAGTCTTTTGGTGGAGCTTTTTGGATCTTCTTAGTAGAGGGTCATATCATTTGCAAACAGTGATAATTTGACATCTTCCTTTGTTTTTTCTTTTTTGATACCAGAGATAGAACCCAGGAACACTTAACCACTGAGCCACATCCCCAGCCCCCCAGCCCTTTTTGTATGTATTTTATTTAGAGACAGGGTCTTGCTGAGTTGCTTAGTTCCTCAATAAGTTGCTGAGGCTGGTTTGAACTCATGATCCAACTCATGAACTCAGCCTCCCAAGCCACTGGGATTACAGGCACGCGCTACCATGTCCAGCCTTCTTTTCCTAATTTTTTTTTAAATATCTTTTTTAGTTGTCAATGGACCTTTATTTATATTTACTTACATGCGGTACTGATAATTGAACCCAGTGTCTCACACATGCTAGGCAAGCGCTTTACCACTGAGCCACCACCCCAGCCCCTTCCTTTCCTATTTTTATCTTTTATTTCCTTCTCATTCCTAATTGTTCTAGCTAGAATTTTTAATACTCTATTGTAGGAGTAGTGAGAATGGACATCCTTGTCTTGTTCCAGACTTTAAAGGAAATGCTGTCAGTTTTCCCTGTTTACAATGAGTTTGGCTTTGGGTTTTTCATAGATAGCCTTTATGATGCTGAAGTATTTTCCTTCTATCCCTAGTTTCTTCAGTGTTTTTATCATGAACGCGTGCTGAATTTTGTTGAAGGGTTTCTCTGCAGAGTTTTCTTTTCTTCTTTTTTTTTTTTTATGAAGATGTCCACACTATGTAAAACTTACATTAAATAAATGAGTATACTTTTCTTCTTTTAATACACGTAAAGTCAATTCAGTTCTTGGACCCATCAGGGACCCTAAGAGGATGGAGTTCTGCCACCTCTGTACAGAAAAATGAGGTATCCTGGGGCACTGTGACCTGAACACACAGACAAAAATGCTCACAAGCTCAGCACCGTTTTCAAATAATTTATTAGGAATTTAAAACTGAAAATAAAACCTGGAAAAGAAGTTACAGATGTGGAGAAAAGAGACACCGGAGGGTGGTAACTTGCTGGCTTCAAAACACCATGTAACATCTTTAAAAAAAAAAAAAAAAAATTCCCCAAACAATTCAGAAAACGGAATTCCAGGGCCCTGAGCCCATGGTTGGGCCCAGTGGGGTGGGAAGGTCAAGGGATGAGAAGAAGGGAGAAGCTGAGTTTCTCTGGACTCAGCTCAAATGTGTAGAAAATAAAAAATAAAAACCAATAAAATGCAGCTTCTCTTTTATTAGGAAACATTTAAAAAAAAAAAAAAAAGAGAAAAAGAAAAAAACCAAACAAACAGCCGCGCATCTCAGTAACAAAGATTATTGCTTTGTGTTCTCAGGGCTAATAGGTTAAGCACCTCACACGGGCAATTAACTCTCCAAAGGCTGGCTGGATGGGGTGGGGGCTCTGATGGGGCAGGGAGCTGAGGCCCCCAGCCTCAGGCCTGGGGGAGAGGGACACAGAAGGGGGACAGTGGGTGGGCATCAGCCCTGCCACGCCAGCTAGGTCTCCCTTCATAATCATACCCTGAGCCTCTTTTTCCTTTGAAGGGGGCTCTGGGGTAAGGGGCTGCCAAGGGCCTCTGGCCACAGGACCATCCTAGTGGGAAACTTCAGTGAGAGAATTGGGGGTTCCCTGAGAAGCCCTTTGCTTTCCCCTGGCGTCTGTTCCTTACCCAAGTGCCCCCCGGTTTCCACTCAGTGGAGTGGGGGCTCAGAGCAGAAGTAAAGGTCCAACCTAGGCAGGGGACAGGGGAGACCTTTGGAGAGCTAATTCCTTTCCAGCAGTGGCTCTGGGGCAAGCCCTTCTCTTCCCTCGCCCCCACACTGGGTTTTCGGGGTGAGCAGGCCCAAGGCCTTGACCCTGAGGGCCTGAGAGAGTGGGCCTGCTGCGGCCAGGCCGAGGCCTGCAAGCTTACAGTAACGGTGTCTGAGGGGACAGAGGAGGGGTGGGGGAGACCTTCGCCCTGTGGGGTCCAGGCAATGCCTTCACCCCCAAGGGGGCTTAGAGAGGGGTGGGGGGCTTCACCTCACAGTATTTACATATGATACAGGACGGGATGTTCCAGGGGCTCGGCCTGGCCTACCCGCAGCCCTGCCCTCCTCTCCAGGGCTGGAGGGAGGCGGGCCAGGGGCCACACCCACATAGACACTTTGTTCTCAGCTGGTGGGGGGCACCTGGCCCCTTGCCCCCTGCGGCCTGGGGCTTCACATTCACAAACCTAGAAATAGTTTAAAAACGGTTTCTTAAAAAAAAAAAAAAAAAAAAAAAAAAAAAAAAGAAAGAAAAAAAAAGGAACAAATAAAGGAGGGAAAAATCAGAATAAAAAACAAGGGTAGGGGCTAGGCCTGTAGCAGGCCCCCCGCCCTCACTCTAGCTATGCACAAATACAAAAAGCCTTTCTGGGGGCGTGTCCTATAGGGGTGGCGGGGAGGAGGGGGCAGACCGAGAGGGGGCGTCCACAGGGGTAGGGGACAACCGGCTAATCCAAAATAAATAAAAGCGGGCAGGGAGAGAGGCAGGTGGGGAGGGGGCAAGGGCAGAAGGGGAGGTTAGTAGGGGAGCCAGACGGATGTGGGGGGGCAGCAGGGCAGGGGCCGGGGGGCCCAGGGAGTGGGGGGCAGGCAGTAGCATCCGAGTCGCTGCAGGGGGAGGGGGCGGCGGCTGCGGCTGAGGTGTCCCCACCCCCTCGCTGGCTCACTCATGGTCCTCTGTCAGCTTCAGGCTGGGGCGCTGGGAAGATAATGGCAGGTTATAGAGGCCTGTGGGGGTAGGGGGCAGTCCCCAGAACACATACACCCTCTCTGGTCCCCTTCCAGAAGAGTTTTGTCCAGAGGGCACTGTCTCCCAGATTTGGAGTGGCTGGATTTATTCAGATGTCACCTTCTCAGGGATACCTCTGAACCCTAAAATAATCCCCTATACACTATTTAGGATTCTCTCATTCGTTTGTTCCACGTTTGTCTGGGATGAGAGAGGATCTCATCTCACTTGCTCATCTCTCTGTCCCAGAATAGTGCTTAATAAATATTTGAACAAGTGAGGTAAAGAATGAAATATCACCAATTCACAGGGTGCTCCACCATCCTGACAGACACTGGTGATTGCACCAGTCTCATGTACCAGGGGTGTCCTATTTTATAGCTGTGTAATACCCCACTGTAGGTACACTAATTTATCTAATCATTTTCCTTTTGAGAGGCATTATAGTTATTTTTGCAGTTTGGGATTTTTGTTTTGTTTTTGTTGTACTGGGAACTGAACTCAGGGACACTCTACCACTGAGCTACATCCCCAGTCCCTTTTATTTGAGATAGTGTCTTGCTAAGTCGCCCAGGCTGGCCTCCAATTTGCAATCCTCTTGCCTCAGCCTCCAGAGTTGCTAGGATTACAGGAGTACACTAACATGCCCGGCTGAGCAGCTTTTCCTATGTTCACTCATCACTGCTAAAATAAAGGACTGTCTTCCCTAGTATACTATGGTTCTGTGATGACAGGGAAGGGAATCTGTGTCCCAGATGGGATCATCCAGGATCAGATGCCTGGTGCCACCCTTATCCCATACCTGTTCCCACCTTCTCACCTCCTGCCACCTGTCCCCTGCTTCAGTGGTACCCATTGGTGAAGGCTGTGGCAATCAAGGGACCCTGAAAAGAAAAGAATTAGACTCCTAGAATCCTGCAGAAAGTACAGAACGTTTAGGGACTCCTTTCCTCTCTCACCAGAAGCCCAAGGTAAGGCACAAATCTTTTTCTACCCTACCATAGACTGGTTCAAAGAGACTCCAAGGCAGGCCTGGGAATTTACATATCACCAGCACCCTGGTTAATACTAGGGTACGCCTGAGCTAGACTCGGATCTCATTACGAGAAGAGAGGGTATGAATCCACTGGCCCATCTCAGAGCCCACCAAATGCTGACACGCAGAGGTGACGATTAAATGCCTACTACGCCAATGTTAATTTCCACTGTTCCCCATTAGTGACACTTTCTTTCCCCATCCATCATGTCTCACCTGACCTTTTTCCAGAGAAGACAAACACCTCTCCCTCCCTTACTTTGGGGTCTCGCAGGGTAAAGGGAGGTGGAGGCCGCCAGGCCTGACCACTCACCCCAAGACTGTGGCCAAAGCCGGTGCTGGGGGCGGGGCTGGCGGCACTGATGTAACTGCTGACCCCCGAGTCCTGGTTGGCCGCCCCATAGAGCTCAGCCATGGGGCCAGGGCTGGTGGTCCCCAGGAAGCCCCCTGTGCGGCTGGGAGTTGAACCTGGAGGGGGAGCCATCGTCCAAGGGTGAGAGCCTGGCAACCCAGAAAGAAGATAGTGATAGCCCTGGTGCCCACTGCTGCCCCATGGCACCCCACCAAACCTCCTCCACCCTGACCTTGACCCCTACATCCCAGCAGTCCTATGGGTCTACCCCATGGAGATCTCTCTACACTCATTTATCACCACCCCAACCTCCATCGCTTCCTGTTTGCTCACTCTGCAGCCTCCTCCTTCAGCCCCTTCAAACCTGTCCCCACCCTGCCCAGTACATTTTCTAAATCTGACCTCTGTCATTCTGCTGCTTGAAGTTCCACTGTCCCCTGTCCCCACTCCTGCACTACCCATGCAACTAGCCTCCAAGCCTTTGCAGTGCTCTTCCCCGGGCCAAAAACACTTTTCCTCCTCTTTGTCTCCAAATCTCAAGTCAAGAGGCCCTTTGCCTCTTCCCTGGCCTTCCTCAGAAGCCCCGGCTGGGAGCTGCTCTGGCACCTGATTCCCCCTCCCCCGCCCCTCCCCCGAGCAGCAGAAACATCCTCTGGAATCACATCCTTGTCCCCAGTAGCCTGGAAGCCCCACATGGCAGAAGGCCTGTGAGTGTCCATCCTGGCTCACTGATGTGGGCACAACACCCGGTACAGGGTAGGTACCCAGTTAACACTTGAGTGAATAAATTGGTGCCTTTGTCAAGGTATAGCGATGGCCACCTCATCTCCCCACTAGAATTCTCTGCCCCCTACACCCCGACCCTGGAAGGCCTCACCTGTCCCTCGAACCACAGCCGCTGCTGCTGCTGCCGCTGCCATTGGTCCATAAGCAGTGAGAGGAATGGCTGCAAGAGAAGGTTCGAGCGTCTCAGTGCGGCCAGAGTGGGGCAGGTGGATGAAGGAGGCCTCCAACTTCTGGCAGAGGCTCTCCCTCCTGACCCCATCTCAATGCATCCCCAGGGCCAACGCACCAAGAGCCACTTTGGGCCACCATCCATGCCCTGACTTGATGGGTAGAATAAAGGTAGGAGAGAGGAAAGCTTCCCAGCAAGCTGCCCAGACTCAAAGGATACATTGAAGCAACCCACGACTCCCAGAGGGTGGCCCCTGGGCTGCTCTGTGTCCTCAGTACAGATGCCCCTTCTCCTGAGCACCTTGGCACAACTCAGGTCATGTAGCCCAGAGGTGGCCAGAAAGCTATGTCCCTCTTTCCAGCCAGGGACCAACTGAGCAGAGGTGCAGAAAGCCAGTCTCACAGCCCCAATGTGTGACCGATTCTGGCACATCAGGGTTCCAGAACTCGCCATGGAGTCAGGCTGAGGACAGACTCCGGTGGAGACCACAGCTGGGCCACTGCTGCTTCTGCTGTGTGTCCTGTGTTTCTCAATCCCCTTCTTCCAAGAGCACCCTTCAGGGCCTCCCTGGCCACCCCGCCCGTAAATCACCACTCCTTCTCCCAAATGCTCTCAGCATCTTTTTAGTCAAGCCCTCTCCAGGCACAGGGACCTGGCTCTTGCTTTGTTATCTATCAACCCCCGGCACCTCCCACCTTTCCCTCTACACAGCAGGTATTTAATAACTGTCTGCTGAAGGAGTAGAAGGGACCTCTGCTTAGATAACCTGTTGGCTTGAGCAGGGAACTCCCTGAGGCTGAGGTATCTCCACTCCTTGTGGCCACCAAGGAGTTCCACCCCATGCTGAGGATGGTCTTTCGGGATTTGCACTTGGCAAGCCTTAGGCCACCATGCTCCCACCCCAAAAAGTGCCCCTTGGGGCTGTTTGGGTGACTTTGGCCTTGAAATGGACAGACCTAGGGATAGGGACCTTAGATAAGGCCCTCCCAAATCCTTGGCAAAGCCACTGGATTGGGAGATTCAAAAGGAGGACTGTAGTTCCTGCATCTTGGAGGGATCTTTCCAGCACCTTCATACAGCTCCCTCTTTCCCACTCACAAGTCACCTCTTGAGAAGCTTCTCAGGTCACCCTCCATTCAGGCAGCCCTGGGGCCAATCCTAACTCCACAGGACAGCTTCCTGCTCTATCTTCCCTGGGGAACTTCTTACCCTCGTTTACCTCCAGAATACCAGCACCCAGAAAATAGTGCCTTGTTGATTTATTCACTGTAGTGTCCCCGTGCCTAGCCTAGCACCAGCACTATAAATATGTACTGAATACACGAAGGAAACACCCAAGTCCCCTTTTCTCCAAGGCAAGAGAAAAGTTCAGACCCTGGACTCTCCAAGAATTGCTGAGCCCAGAACTTACTTCCTCCCCTGCCAAAATTTCAGTTAAGAGGACACTGCTTACATCTGGTCTGTAAGGGCACGGACAGGAGCAGGGATAGGGTCAGGGGCTGGGTGCTGAAGTCTGGTTTTTGGCCACCACAGAGCAAAGTCAGAGAATAGCCAACTCTAGCTAGTGCTTATCACAACTGTAAACAACTACTTGTTTATATGGCATTTCATTTCCTGTCTAGCTGGCATGCTCTATGAGAGCAGGGTCTGGCTCTGTTCTGTCCCTGTCTGCCCCCAGGGCCTGGCAGTGCATGCTGCACATAGTAGGTCCTCAATGCACAGTTCTCACTGGATTAAAAAGGAATTACCCTCCTCCCCAATTGCTGTCAACACCCTTCTGCTCATGGTAGAGCCGCTGGGACTTCTGCCACCAGGGCTCTCCTCCCTCCCCTTCCTTCACCCCATGTTTCCCTTCCCCCCTCCCACATTCTGGGGGAACCCTGAGCACCCCTTGGAAGGAAGGTTTCATCTAAAGCAGCATCCATGCTCACACACGGCCAGGTTGGGGGAGAGTCTAGGGGTGGGGTGGGGGTAGAAGCAGATGGGACAGAGAAACCCCTTGTAGCCCACCATCCTGTGTACAAAGCCCCCCAACTCGGCCTCGCCCCAGCTCTGCAGCTGAGCTGCTTGGCTGGAATAAAGGTTCCAGCTGGAGAAATGGTCCCGGATGGCCAAGCACCTCCATCCAACTTTCCCAGCAATCTCACATGGGCAGACTGAGGGCCAGATTTGGCCCTTGGATGGGTTTCATTTGGCCATTCCAAATGATAATTTGGAATTGTTGTCAATCCTTAAAAATGATCAAAAAATTCATATGAAAGCAAAAATTGGATTTCTGGCTTGTCTAAAAAAATGAGATTGGAGAAGGCTGGGTCTGCATCCCCTTCCGCCAAGGACAGGCTCGCAGGGAAGGCAGGCCTGTCCACCAAACACGCCCAGAATTCCCTGGCCTCCTCGCTGGCCCACTCTGCTTTTGAGATCTTGGCCTATTCACTGCTGGATCCCAGATCCTCTGTGGTGCCTGGCACTCGGGAGGTGCTGGGTAAATATTTGCCAAATGGGTGAATGAGTGATGTTGCCTCCATCTGTTTGGCTTGGCCCTATACCCCACCCTTAAGGGCAACGTAGCTCCACAGACTGGCCAGTGCCCAGGCACTGTCTGCTGTGTCCTCCCAGCCAGGGGACTGGTGGGCAGGAGAAAAGAGTCCCGCTGGCTTTCCCCAGAGGTCTCTGGGCCCTTCTCTTTCTCCCCATGTGGCCTAGGAGATGTACGAAATCCGAGCGACTGACCTGTAAGCTCGGGGAGGACTGGGGCGCTCGGGAGAGGGGTCCGCTCTACACGGAATTCTAAAATGAAACGTAAAACAGCTTAGGAAGAAGTATGGGAGGCCCCTCAGACATGGCCCAGGGAGGACAAATGTACCCACAGGGACACTAGGTGAGGGGACAGGCCATGCACAGGACCCAAGAGCTGAGGACGGGGAAAGAAAGTCCCCAGAAGGGAAGGGAGGGGAAGGAGACACAAAGAGGAGAAGAAGAGAGAGCAAAAGAACAGGCGGAGTTGCCACCTGAACCCTAGGCACAGGCAGTGCTGCCCCTACAACTCTGGGTATTCCTTTAAAGGCTTAGGACTGGGGCTGGGGACATCTACCCAGAGGCAGAGTGCTGCCTAGCATGCACGGGCCCTGGGTTCAATCCCCAGCACCACCAAAAGAACAAAAAAGGCTTAGGATTGAACCAAAGACGCCTTCCAGAATCTTCTCTCTCCCCCTCTCTCTCACTTTTAATGAGGAGAGAGCTTCAGAGGCAGCTTAAAGAAAAACAGTGGCTATAGAGTAAGTCCTACTCCAGCTTGGTCCAGTTCCCAGCCCTGCCACTTCCTAGTTATCATCTAAGCAGGTCACATTTCCTTTCCAAACCTGTTTCCTCATCTCTAAAATGGGTATAATCATCCCTCCCATGGAATTATTGGGAGGATTAGACAACATAATGTAAATAAAGGATTCCTAGTTAAACAATACCCAAGGGGCAGAGGATACAAGTGCTTAGGAACCTTTCAGATAAAAACAAGACCAAAACCGATTGTGGGTGTAGCTCAGTGGTAGACCACTTGCCTCAGGTTCCATCCCCAGCACTGCAAAACTAAATAATAAATAAGTAAGTTGCCTTGTAAAAATTTGATGTTTAGGGGGTTGGGGTTTGGCCCAGTGGTAGACTGCTCGTTTAGCACTTGTGGGGCGCTGGGTTCGATCCTTAGCATCACATAAAAATAAAATTATTTTGTATCCAACTACAACTAAAGCAAAATATTTTTTTTTAAAAACTGATATTTAATATTTCAGAGAAAACACATTGAATACTCATCATGGAACAGTCCAGAACTTTGTTGGGCTTCCTGATACTTTTTTAAGGTCTAGTCTATGTTGAAAGTGATTATAATGCTTTTGTTTCTTGGCATTTAGAGTCTCAAGAGGGCTTGTGTGACCTTGAAAGGGCTCAGCATAGCACCTGGTCATTGTAATATGTCCGTGAAGGCGCAATTCACAATGACCCTTAGGGAGGGTGCTCCTACTGCCAATCTGGTGTCCTCTTTGGTAGAAGTGGCAACCCCAGAGTTGGGAGGGGAGGACAGAAGGTAGGAGGCAGGCAGAGAAGGGCCTGGGAGAGAACATTACCATGCAGGGGCCACACTGGGAGCCCTTGTCCCCAGCTTTTGGGGAAAGGTCAGGGGAAAGGCCTTCCTTCATCAGACATGCCCTTCCTTCCAAGCCTCCAGCAGGCAGACCCCCAGCCATGCACCCCAGACACCACCCTGAGGAGTGAGACTGCCTGGGAACTGGGGACATGCTGGCCATAGAGGGACACCAAGCAGGACTTACCGGGGAACTGGTAGGTGTAGCCAGGGGCAAGGCCTGTATAACTCCGACTGGCATAGGTTGTGGCTTGGAAACCTGGGTAACCTGATGGGACAAAGGGGCAGCGTCAGATGCCTTAGCCACAGCTCAGACCCTGCTAGGACAGGAAGGATCTGAACCAATCACTTCCTCCTCCCCCACCTCCTTATCATGAATAATCCTTAGTCCTGCTTTCCAAGTACCTTTGGAATGCCAAGTCTAGTGCTAAGCAGTGTATACTTAATGATCTCATTAAACCTCAAAAGGAAATAGTACATAACAAGTTGGTACTATTAATAGCCTCATTTTATTTATTTATTTATTTATTTATTTATTTGGTGCTGGGGATTGAACTCAGGGACACTTAACCACTGAGCCACATCCCAAGACCTTTTTATGTTGAGATAGGGTCTTGCTAAGTTGTTTAGGGCCCCCCTAAGTTGCTTATTTTGGCTTTGAACTTGCAATTCTCCTGCCTCAGCCTCATGGGTTGCTGGAATTACAGGTGTGCACCACCATGTCCAAACAACCTTATTTTGTAGACAAGGGAACTGAGGCTCAGAGAGGTAATATTTGTTGGCCGAGAATATTCTAAACCCCTTATCAAAGCCCTTCATGCTCTGGCTCCTGCTTCCCTCTGTCCTCATGTCCTACACTCTGCTTCCCACTCCCTTGCTTAAGTCACACTGGTTTCCTTGTTTCTTAAATCCAAGGTCATGCGCACACCAGGGCCTTTGCATAGGCTGTTGCCTCTGTGTGGAACACTCTTCCCCAGATGACTGCATGACTGAGTCCTCACTGGACAAGTCTCAAAGAGGTCCTCCCACAGGAGTCCTCCTTTCCTAGCAGTTACAATCTCTACCATGTCATCCTGTTTTTTTCTCCTCTCATTCATTGTTTGTTTAGTTTTTTTTAAAAATAGTTTTTTAGTTGTAGATGGATACAATATCTTTATTTACTTATTTTTGTGTGGTGCTGAGGATCAAACCCAGTACCTCACCAGGCAAGGCAAGTGCTCTACCACTGAGCCCCAGCCCCGGCCCCTAGTTTTTTTTTATGTGGCGCTGGAGATTGAACCCAGTGCCTCACATGTGCAAAGCCCTGTACTCTGAGCCACAACCCCAGCCTGTTTTTTCCCCCCTTTCATAGCACTGATGATCACTGTCTGAACTTATCTCATGATTTCTTCAAGGCTTGGTTTTCTGTTAAGAAAATCAAGGAAGATCCTATAGTTTGTAATAATGGTACAGCTGGGATTCAAATTCAGACGTGACTGGCTCCAATACTCCTAACCAGTCTCACCTCTTATTAGACATTTTCTTTTTAAATGAAGGTGAAATCAGATCAAGAATTACTCAAGCCAGGTGCGGGTGGTGCATGCCTGTAATCCCAGAAGCTCAGGAGGCTGAGATGGGATTGGGGCTGGGATTGTGGCTCAGCGATAGAGTGTTCACCTAGCACGGGCGGGACCCAGGTTCGATCCTCAGCACCACATAAAAATAAAGGCATTGTATTGTGTCCATCTACACCTAAAAAAATAAATATTAAAAAAAAAAAGCCAGCCTGTCCAACTTATTGAGACCTTAAGTAACTCAGGGAGACTCTGTCTCTAAATAAAATACAAAAATAGGGGGCTAGGGCTGTGGCTCAGTGGTAGAACACTCACCTATCACGTGCGAGGCCCTGGGCTTGATCCTCAGCACCACATAAAAACAAATAAACTAAAGGTATTGTATCCAACTACAATTAAAAAATAAATGTTTTTAAAAAATACAAAAATAAGGCTGGGGATGTGGCTCAGTGGTTTAGTGCCCCTGAGCTCAATCCCCAATACCAAAAAAAAAAAAAAAAAAAAAAATTCTTAAAGTATAAGATCAAAGGCGGCTAAACAGACAAGACAACTAAATTTAAAATCTGATTCTAGTCCAGATTTTGTTCTGGGGAACAAAAGTAAGTATGTTATAAAGATCATCATTGGCTGGGTGTGGTGATACACACCTGTAATCTTAGTGAGAGTGTGAGGCAGGAGGATCACAAGTTTGAGGCCCTTAGCAACTCAGCAAAAATTAAAAAAATAAAAAAGGAGTGGATGTAGCTCAATGGTAAAGTGCTGCAAAGTTCGATGCCCAGTACGAGGGGTGTTATTGATAATATTAAAAAACAAAAGATAGATTAGATGAAATTTTTTCCCCTCAGTGAAAAACCCAGGACCTTGTACAGACTAGGCAAGTGCTCTACCACAGAGCCACATCCCAGTGCTAAATGAAAATAACTGCATCAATATAAATTTGTGAAGCTGACAACCATACTGTGGTTATAGGAAAGATTATCTCTAATCTTAAGGAAAAAGGTAAATGGGTCATATGCATGATTTACCCTTAAATGATTTAGGGAAATATCCCATAGGTATGTATATACATATGTGTAAACGCATACACACAGCATGAGAATGATAAAGCAAAGAGATCGAATATCAACAGGCAAATCTGATACATGTTCTTTTATGTTTTTATGTTATTCTATTATTTGCCACTCTTTGGAGAGTTTGGAACTACTTCTTCAAGAAGATTGTGTTGGGCTGCGGTTGTGGCTCAGTGGCAGAGCGCTCGCCTAGCACACGTGAGACACTGGGTTCGATTCTTAGCACCACATAAAAATAAATAAAAGATGTTGTGTCCAACTACAACTAAAAAAATAGACATTTTTTAAAAATAAATAAAATAAAGGTATTGTGTCTATCTACTAAAAAAATATAAAAGAAAAAGAAAGAGATTATATCCTGTTTGAAGGATGCTCTTGTCCTCACTTGTCCTGTGATCACAATGCTGACCCTCTAGCCCTGCTAGGCCCCCAGCTTCTGAAGTCTCAGAGCACCTCTCTGTGTATCCCTCCCCAATAGCAGGCATAAAGACCCCCTTGAACAATCAATCCTCTTCCTATGTGTATACATCTTTACAGGGAAACGGTGAGCTTTCTCAAATTTGCCACCCAAATTTACCTGGGCCCAAACTGTGACTTCTACCTGCTCAACTTTCAAGGCTCAAGGCATCCTTCACCCCCTTCAGGGAGCCCGCCTATTCCCATGTGGGTCTAGATGCCTCCCTTGGACCTTTCACAGTCCCCAAACATTCACTTACTTCTATCTCACTAAAAGGGGAACCCCATGAGGGCAGGTCCTGACCCTGAAAAGCTAAATGAAATAAATTTTTTAAATGAACAATTATACTGTGATTAAAAAAAAAAATATCTTGGAGCCAGGTGCAGTGGTGCACACCTGTAATCTCAGTGGCTTGGGAGGTTGAGGCAGGAAGATTGAAAATTCAAAGCTAGTATCAGAAAAAGTAAGGAGCTAAACAACTCAGTGAGACCCTGTCTCTAAATAAAATACAAAACAGGGCTGGGGATGGGGCTCAGTGGTTGAGTGCCCTGAATTCAACCCCTGGTATCCTTCCTCTAAAATCTCGGGGCTGGAGTTATAGCTCAGTGGTAAAGCACTTGCCTAGCACTTGTGAGGCACTGGATTTGATCCTTAGCACCACTTAAAAATAAATAAAATAGGGGCTGGGGTTGCAGCTCAGTGGTAGAGTGCTTGCCTAGCATGTTTGAGGCACTGGGTTCAATTCTCAGCACCACATATAAATAAATAAAATAAAGGTCCATTGACAACTAAAACATTTTAAATTTGAATAAGAGGAGGCAGCCTTCCTTTTGCCTTCCAAGAGGCCTTAGCCAAGTGCTGTTTTCTCTGGAATACTTTTCCATTCTCTTTGCTCCTGCCCTCCCATAACTGGCTTCTACTCAACCTGCAGGATCAGTGTAAACAGTACTTATTTTCCATTTTTTTTCCAAGTCTTGGTCAAGTTCCCCATGCCAATGCTCCCTTGGCATCCTGCATTCCACCCTAAATCTATTTGTCTTCTTTCTCACTTGTCTGCCCTGACAGACCATAAAGCTGAGGAAAGTCAAGGCTGGGATTCCTGGAAGGCTGCCTGGCCCATGCAGGTGCTCCGCACCTATTTACTGAATAGATGGATGGATGGATGGACAGAGGACCAATCAACAGAGAGCAGCTGGACCATTCTTCTGGCTAACCACGAGAGGGCAGCACTCCACAACCAAACCATCCCACCCTGGGTAGGACTGCCAGCCCTGACCGAGATGCCTGGCCTCCACTGCCGCCCAGTGACTCAGACAGGAGGGCAGACCACAGAAGAGATGCAACACCCACGCAGCCCCTGGAAGTCCCAGGAGTAGTTCCGGGTAGGAAGAAGCCGCAGGTGCAGGCCTAGCTCGTACCCAGCATGCCGATTCCCAGCATGAAGGCGTCCATTCCATAGGGCATGACTCGAGACCGGCCCCGGGCTGAGCCCGTCGGCGACATCACCTCCTTTGGCTGAGCTTTCTTACATTCCACCTGCAACAAGACCTGATGGTCAGTTCTTTCTCCAGCTAGGGTCGCCATCCCTCTGAGTCCCCGGCAGGCCTTTTTATTATTAATTTCATAGTTACCATTTATGGAGCACGCATTGTGCAAGGCCCTGCATAAAAGGCTCTGCATGCCATAGTCATTGAACGTTTGCACCAAGTCTATGACGGAGGTACTGCTATGGCTCCCATTTTATAGATGAAGAAACAGAGGCTCAGAGAGAAACCCAGTTAATCAGTGACACTGCCTCCCCGTCTAGATTTCCAAGAGGTGACAGGACCAGCTCTGCCCTGCTCATTGTAACACCTCCTCACACCCCCACACCCCACCTCTGGAACATTGAGGATTCCCTGGATGGCTCAGCCTGGAGCTCCAAGCTCTCTCTGCACTTCCTTCTCTCTCCATCCAATCTCAGCTTACCATTTTGTTGTTGATTTCATGGAAGTGGATTTCACACACTTTTTCCACGATGTCCTCGCTTTCGAATGTGACAAACCCAAACCCTAGAGGTTGGACAAGGGGCAAGGGCAGGGTCAGAACCAGGGCTCAAGGTCAAAACCCAGCCCCAGGCCATCCTCATACCACATCTCCTCCTGTGGCCAAGTGTCTGAGAGTTAATGAAAGGCTCTGCCCACAGCCTAGGATTCTCTCAACTACCGGCTGAGACAGGGTATCAAGTCCCAAATTACAGACGAGCAAACCAAGGCTCAGTGAGGTAAAGTAACCTGCCCAAGGTCACACAGCAAGTTCGAAAATGGCAAAGCTGCCAAGAGAATGTAATTGTCCCCCAGAATCGGAGGGGGATTAGTTCCAGGATGCCTCATAGGCCCCCAAATCCGTGCTATGCTCAAGTCCCTTAAAAAAGGCCAGTATTTGCATAGAACCTATGTACAGCCTCCCTTATACTTTAAATCATTTCTAAATTACTTCTGATTCCTGATTCAACGTGAATGCTATGCACAGAGCTGTTATACCGCACGGCTGAGGGTATAATGGCAAGGAAAAAAAGCCGCAACAGGCTTTGTTCAGATAGAATTTTTTTTCTGAATATTTTTGATCCACAGTTGATTGAATCCAAAAACACAGAATGCACAGATACAGAGGACCATGTACACTTAACTTGCCTTCTCTCTCTCCCTCAGATGCTTACCAAAGAGGGGGAAAAATAACATCCATAGACAAACTTACACAAAGGTGCACATGCCCGAACATACTTCTGTACACAGACACATACACCCCCTTAGGCACCCATCCCAAAGATACCCATGGGCTCTCTATAACGTACTATTGCCCCAACATACCAGACATACATACATATTCAGGCATGCACACGTGCCTGAGCATGCGTGCTGCACACACATGGCCCAAGAAAAACTAAAAGGCCCAAAGCCCTGAATCAACTGGAGAAACTACCCTGTCTCCTCCTGAGCGTGCCCTAGGGCTACTGTGGAATTTCTCAGAAGGCCCCTAAGAGAAAAACAACCAGGCCGATCACAGAGTGTGGCCCAGATGCTCACAGGTTCAGGGCCAAAGGAGTTAGGGGCAGTGGCACAGCAGACTCCCTGGGGCTCTGGAGTCAGCGTGATCCTGGGGCAACCTGGCCTAAGCTCTGGTTACCAGGAACAAGGTAAGCCTGGGCAGAGGCAGACACTGGCTGGGGTGGGGGTGGAGGGCGCCATTGGTGGGAAGCCCGTCCTCTGTCTGCAATTCCAATTCAGCCAGTTTTCTAGCACAGGAAACTAGTGGGACAAAAGCCCTCTGTAAGGCCAGGCCGGGAGAGGATGCAGATCCTCAGGGATAGGATGTCAGGAGAGGAGATGAAAGGGCAGCTGTGACCTGTAGCCCCCTTGGCTGACCACAGGCCCCAGGCCCAGCCTGGGAAGGGGGAGGGGCACACTCACCTCGGTGCCGGTTGGTGGTTTTGTCGAACATCAGCATGGCATCATCCACCTAAAACACAGCCTGCCATGGAGGACCCACCAGACACCAGGGGCTCCCACGAACCACTCCCCTCTTGCCCCTGCCAGGCTTTCCCTTAAGCCTGTTCCCAGTTCAAGGGATAACTTTCCATCTGCGACCCCACTGGACACCACAGAACCCCCTAGTTAAGTCACCAGATTCTCAATGGATCAATCAGCCTACATTTATCGAGTTCCAAAGAGGTGCCCAGCACTTTAACCATCATCCTAACACTTCCTGGAGGGGGAAATCCCCATTGTGTCAAGAAATGGGCTCAGAGAGGGGAAGTTGCCTGCCCAAGGTTACACAGCAAGTCCTGGAGGGAGGAGGTGGCACAGGGCTGTACTAGAGGAGAAAATATGGGAGCAAGATTAGGAGATGCTTTAAGAAAACCTCTTCTTTTTTTTTTTTTTTTTTTTTTTGCAAAAGGCCAGGCGGACAGGACAACAGGCAGACTAGACTCCCCTCTCCCGGTACAGATCTTTTCTCTAATTGAGGTTTCCTTTAGCTAGAGGCTGTAATTAAAGCAAGTAGAGTTCAGTGCCTGGACTGCTTGCCTCCCACTGTCTGGGGGATGGGAAAGGACTGAAGAAGGGGGAGGGTCTCCATTCGCTACCCTTTCTAGAACCCCAGTCATCTCTCTCCTTGCTTCTCCAGCCAGAGGATGTCCCACCTTCTTCCCTGTGCCTGGATCTGTTGTCCCCTCTTCCCTAGGACTGAGTCACCCTAGGGGCTGCCTCTGATCCTCCCCAGTCCCATCCACTCCAGCCCCTGATCCTCGCACAAATGGTCTGCCATCTGCAGGGTGAGGGAAAACTTTCCTCAGGCCACAGGGCACAGGGCACAGGGTCTCGCCCCCTCCTTTCTTCTACTTCCAGACCCTACCTGCCTTATCAGGGGCCTCCCCTGCCTCATTAAAGTAGAAAGTACAAACCTTGGAGGCGCTCCTCCAGCTCTCCCTAGGTCTCAAGGCTGCTTAACCAGGAGACAGAGGGGTTCCTGGAGAATCTCAGAAGGAAATGATACCTTCCTTCCCAAGGAGCTTCCTATCCCCAGAACCCTACAGCAGAGTACTATCCCTGCCACCCCAATTCTGGGTCCCAATCCCAAATCAGCTGGACAGACATTTCAGGCTCTACACATCTTCCCCATCCCTCACTTAAGCAATGGAAAAGAGAAACCCAGACAGAAGGGTTTTGATCAAAGCACAGGCTTTAAGTAGGACAGGCCCAAACTGGAATCCTGGATCCTGGATTTGCTGATTCGGTAACCTTGGGCAAGTGGCTTTATGTCCCCATGACTTTAGTTCCTCATCTGTGAAATGGGCATAGGAAAGAGTTAAACGAGATAGTGCGCATAGCTCTTAACTCACAGCCCCTGGGATTCAGTAAGTGAGGAATAAATAACAACTGCTGTTATTATCTTTATTATGGAGGAACTTGCCCACGGTCACACGGGGGAAGGTGGCAAAACTAGAGGGAGCAGCAGCCCAACACCCTAGCTGGAAGGTTCCACCAGGACAGTGGGTCATCTGTGACCATGATCACCATTCTCCTGAGCACCTTGACTTGTGCTCAATTAATTATTTTTTTGAATGGATGAGTGAATGAACCCAAGAACCAGCCACACCTTCCTCCTTAATCCTACAGCTTGGAGTTCTTGCTTGATCCAGAGACTGATTCAGGCCAAATCCACAGTCCTTCCGGCCTTCTTCTTCCCCATGACCCTCCCAGTCCAACCTCCCTGGTGCCCCACAACCTTCAACCTGGGCCTTGGCGGGACAGACCTCCGATGGGGCACTGGGGTTGAGGCCGGGGCAAGGGGCAAGGAGAGTGGCAGGGGGTCCAGGGTAACCCCCAGCGGTGTCCCCTCCTGGGGCCAGCGGAGGGGAGGGAGGCTCCCAGCCCAGTGTCCTTAATAGGCTTTGGTCTCCATGGGAACCCGGGGGCAGGGGGGCTCGGGCGGGGAGGGGGGGACGGCGGGGGGAGGGGAGGCGACCGAGGCCTGCTGACCAGTGGGAGCCGCCAAGTTCGGCGGCCGCTAAGCCTGAGTGGCAGCCATGGCGGCTGACCATTGTTCCCCCCTCGGCGGCGGGCCCCTCGGTCCGGGCGGGGGGCCCCCCGCCGCGGGGCCCTTGGCATTCCCGGCTGTCCCCCTCGCTCCCTGGCAGCCTATTCTCCGGCTCCCCCTGGCCTCCCCGGGCCGGTTTCACATGCCAACGCCGATTTAGGCCCGAACAAAAGACGCGGCCGCTGACGGCTTCTCCTGGGGCCCGGTTGCCATGGCAACGCCGGCCCCGGGGGCAGGCGGCCTCCAATCACAGCTGCTGGATCAGATTAGTGCGAGCTCTAATGCTCGGCGCTCAGACACAAAGACACCCCGCCGAAGCCGAGCCGGGCCTGCTGCTTCCCAGGAGCGCCCTTCCCTCTGGGGCCCAGGCCCAGCCTGCCCAGCCTCCTGGACCCAGGTCCCCAAGGAGGTGTGCCTGAGCCGAGGCCTCTGCCCACCCCCCCCCACACACGTCAGCATCCGCTGGCCAGGGGACACCCCCCCCCCAACCAGCCACACAAGCTTACAGCCTATTTCTCTAGCCACCTCCAGCTGGGCCTGCTGGGAACCAAATGCCTTGCTGGGAAAGTGGAGACCCAGCCTCTAGCCGCCCTCACTCACCTAAAAGAAATACCAGGGACCTGGGTCTCAAGCCACGAGCTCTGGGACTTGGGGTCCCTCTCTCCATCTCACCATAGGACCCTGAAGTTCACCTTCCTAGGGACACCCTATTGTCTGACATGGCCACACTCGGCCTATCTTCCCATAGCCTACCTCTTCTTAGGCCCAGAAAGGAAAGCTTGATATGACCCAGAAGTGAGCACACGTTCTCTGGGCCAGATCAGAATTTGGGGGTGCTTTCTTCAGTTTCCTCCAATATCTAGTAGCCCCTCGGCTCCTGCTCCCAGCTTCCCACCTGGGCCAGCAAGGTACCAAGTGCAACGGGGAGTCATATTTATTGCCTCCTTATCATCCCCCAGGAAGGGGTTGGGGGATGGTGACAACCGCCCATGGCCTGGACAGGTGCAAACTCCCAAGAGGCTAAGGAGTGACTGGATTGAACTGGCTACAGGAGCACCGCCTCCCTCAGGAGAAAGAAGATAAGCAGGAGAAAAATACAGAAGGAGGGGCAACAACAGGGCGGCTACTGTGTGGCTTCCGCTCCCAGGGGATGTCAAGAGTCAGAAGCCCATAGATGGGCCAGGAGCCCGAAAGCTGAGTTGACCTGGCCTCACCTGCAGGACACAACTTCCCCTACACCTTCTACAGGAATTGGGATGACCTGCCTGACCCCCACTGGCTCCTCACCACTCTCTTAGCATTCTCAGCCCCAGCAAGCACCCACCCCCATGTAAGACCCACCTTCCCGAACTGTTCAAAATATTGCTTCACATCCTCCACTGTGGTGTTCACTGACAGTCCCCCCACAAAGATCTTCTTCGTTCGAGTCACCATCTGTTAGGGGAGGGAAGGAGAAAGTGGGCATCTGAGGCCTGTGGCCTACCGCCACCAGCAGGGGCTCCAGCCCCCCTGCCAGGTTGCCAGCTGACAAGCTCTCTGTGGCCTCAGCCTCTCAGAAGGCCTCCCCAAGCTCCTCCTAACCCCCACCTCTAGGCCTGTCACACCCTAACTTCTTAAGTGTGTCTCCCTCCCTGGGGTCTGTATCTGGAAAAATCCCTTCCCAAAGGACTCACACAGGGAAAGGGAGTGGGTCAATGACCCAGACCCACAGCCTAGCTCCAAAACCCCACCAGCCCTCCTGGGAGACCGCCAAGGCCATCGCAGGGTCTCCCTGAACTTAACTCCGACATTTTCCTCATCAACCTCTTCCCTGCTCAACCTCTGGCAGCCCAGTGGCCCCAGCCCTGTTTTAGGAAGAACACATGGTCCTAATTACCCCAGGAGCGCATGGCTAATCCGCGGCAATTCCCAGCCCCATCCTAACACTAAAGCACCTTCTGTCACCAAACTGCTTAATGGAATTAACCCAATTCCGACCATGTGCTCCCTGGTGCGGCTTCCTTGGAATACCTGCTCCATAATTGCTTTCAGGCCCTCTGCTGGACCTTTTCCAGAGATGCCCCTTTCCTGTCTCCTAAAACAGTTCCTCTCCCACTACCCTGGCAGGAGCTCTGGGAACCTTGATGGAATTCACGGGCTAGAGTCATAAAGCATCCTGGTTTCCACCAACTTCTGATAAAAGGGGAAACCGAGATCTCTGGGAGAGGTACCCAGTCCTAGGATACAAGCTGAGTCAACAAACTCAGCAGTCCTGACTCCGTATAAGTCAGCCTTTCCTCCTGTCTTCTATAGGAGAAGACTTAAGAATTAAGAACTGGCCAGTTGCCAGGAGGCCTAGACTCAAATCTGAGGCTCCTGCCCTGCACCAAAAGTTTTAAGTGTTCTAGTGCCCAACTTCTCAGAAATCCAGTTTCTGTATGCACCAAAACACCAGGGAAAGATATCTAAATGGAAAGACAACAGGTGACAGACTTCCTGGTTCCCTCCCCCTCTACAAGTCCAACACACCTCATTCCAGAGCTTGGAAGGTGACTTGCAGAGGGTCAGAGGTATGCTCCCTGGCCCAACTCTAGCTCAGCTTCAGAGGCAGGGCAAGTCTTCCCTGTGTTTGACCTGCCAAGGTTCTGGGCAAGGAGGCTGTGACCTATGAGGTCAGAATTAGACTTGGGTCCAAACTGCACTGACTTCAAATATAGGGACAAAGAATTCCCTGAGCAGTTCCCCTTTTTTCCCACACATGCAGCCCCCTCTCCAGAGCAGATGGGAAGATGCATACTGTCTTCATTCCACAGAATAAGGACATCAAGAATCCCCTCTTCACACCTCCGCCTATCCTGAAACACTCCAGAGGTTCTAGAAGCATCTGCCACAAAATAGAATGCTGGGGAAATCCCTGTCCAGAGTTGCCCTCAGTGACAGCACTCCTCCCAGCCACCAACACACACCTACCTTAGGCTGTGCTCGCCGAGGAAAGGCCACCTTGGGGTCGATCTAGAAGAGAAGGGAAAGGTAGAAAGGGTCTTGCTTATCACACCTCAGATTGTGACCATTACAGCCTTAAGCAGTGAGAACCTCTCTCATCTCAGGACACAGAGGTGACAGAAACCACCAGAGTCTCAGGCAGGAAAGCACAGTTGTTAAGCGTGAGTTCAAATCTCACACTGCTTCCCTACTATAAGACCTTGGGCATGTTATTTAACCTCTCAGAGCCTTAGGGTCACCTGCAAAATGGACAAATAATAATACCCACCTCAAAGGGTCATTTGCAGATTTTTTGAGATAAGGCATACAAAGCACTTGGTGTGGTGTCTAGCTCACAACAAGAACCAAAAATAATGCAAACCAAGTCTTATTCCCTCAAGCATCAGGTATATTGAGGGCCCTCCTTGCTAACCTGACTTCACACAGATACCTGTCAAGGTAAGATATGTGATTCTAACTTTGGAAATCTAGCAAATAGAAATACTCTTTGCCTGAAAAAGTCTACAAGATGAGAGTTCATAACTGCCAAGAAGAGACTCAGTTGTTTCTCCAATACCTCTAGTCTCTAACAGCCCTCTTAGAGGCTGTAAGAAAACAGCTCCTGATAATGCAGCCAGGCTCAGGGTGAGGCAGAGTGCAGTCTTTGGTGACATGAAAGGGCATGGGACTTGGACTTAGAAACTTTGGGCTGCTGCCAAAGCCTGTGATCTTGGTAACTTGCTTGCCCTTCTGAGCCTCAGTTCCTTCATCCGCAAAGTGGGGACAATCACACCCATACTTCCCAGGGGCAGCTGTAGGGAATCAAATGAGATAACATGGGTGAAAGCAGCCTTTTGTGAACTGCCCTTCATTGCACAAACAAAGGTGCTATTACTAGGAGGCCACCTTTGCCCTCTGCTGTGAACAGAGGGAAAAATCAAGATGCACCTGGGTATTCCTGGATACTCCAGCCATGCTGACAAACATCGAGAGACCAGGGCGCGAGCCATTATGACTGATGCAGGACCTATGAGGCCAGGTCTTGCTAGAGTTTCTTGCCACCTACATGGGTGGACATCATGCAGAAGTTCAGCAGTCAATCTCAGAGAAGATCTATCTTTCCCCAAAGTTCCTTCTTTCAAAACTCAGCCTCATTCTAGGCAACTGGCTCTGGCTTCCCTCTGCCTGAATAGCACAGACCAGGAACCAGCATCCTGCAGGCTCTCCCACTGGAATCTGCCCACAGAGATGGAGCCTCCACAGAACACACTAAGGCAATGCCTTCTCTCTTGCAAAGGCCCACTGGGCTCTAGGGAAAATCCAAGCTTCCCATTGGTGTCATGGATTTCATACATCTGTAGCATTTTCATCCTTCTATTTCTCCCTAGCCACTCACACACCTTCATAAGTTCCCCTGCACAGATCCTGATGGGGAGACAGTACCCAAGACCCACTCCCCCAGACCCACACACACCCAATCCCTGACACACCCCACCTCCACTCTGACTCACAGCTGGCAACATAAATAAAACCCAACAAGTAAATAAAAGGTGAAAGTCAGAACCCAAAATAGACTCCCCACAGTAAACCTCCCTCCCATCCCCTTCCCCGGCCCAGAGATGCCAAACACAGACAAAGCCCTTGCCCTTGGTGAGTCCCAATCTCATAAGGATACCCATCTCACCATCCTTCCTCCCTGTCTCTCTCTCTTCACCCTTATCAATCTTCCACTCCTCCAGCCCCCAGCCCCAGCCCCAGCCCCTAAATCTCAGCTTCCTGAGTGCAGCAGAAGCCACCAGTGCATTCTGAGGACAGGGGATGGTAGGAGAACAGGCAGCTTGATGGCAGATAATCACCAAAAACAATAGGCCACTGTCTCTCCTTTCCCAGCCTGGGTCACTCAGGCTGCGCCAAGAAGATCCTTTCAGAGCCGGCAAAGTCGAGGCCTGGCCTCATTTGCTCATTACTGTGAGCAGGAGTGGGAGCCACTGGGCAGAGATAACAGGAGCTGGGGACAGGCGGTAATTTAACAAATTCTTGGGCACAACCAGCCATTGTTGCAGGTAAACAGGAGCCAGTGACTGACCCAAGCAGGGAGGCCTAGGGACAGGGGGAGAGTGGGGGAGTGTGGAGAGAGGAGATCACACTGTCCCAGCCCCCTGGCAGACAGACACCCCCATCACCCAGTAAGCCCTCCTCTGATTTTCTCCTTTTCCCTCTCCCCTTGAGCTGGCCTCCGTCAGCGCCCCCTGCAGGGTCCAAGACACTGGGGATCAGTGGGACAGCAGCAAAATGTTCCAGGAGTTTGAATGCCAAACAAACAGTTCCTCCTAAGATCAAGTCTTGAGAAGGTTTTTCTTTCTTTCTTTCTTTCTCCCCCCCCCCCAATCAAGCTAGCTAGCTCCCTCCTCATAAATCCCCTTCATGGTCAAAGCAGGTCCGTGTCTTCTACACAAAGCATGGAGCTCATTGACCAAAAGTCGGGGGAGGAGAGAAAAGGGGAGGGAGAGGGACTCAGTGACGCTTTGCCATTGGTCTGGAAGGGAAGGGGGGTGTCTCGGAGCCAAATACTAGTTAGAGTTCAGAGAAGCCACCGGGTGGGTCATTGCAGCCCTGACTCACCCAATTTGGGCTAGGGGTGGGACCCAGCCCCACCCCAAGCTCTGAGGCATCGAGATTAGTACTTATAGGAAGGGGGTGGTGGCTACTGCTTCCCTCACCTATGGGGGGGAGGAGGTGTAGCATCTCATCGCAGGCCTGGGATTTTTCTCCTCCCTCTGCCCCCAACTCTAGTGACAAACTTTCAGAGCATGGCAGACCTCTTACTCAGAAAACTCCCACTTTCCTCAAGGACCTCGTCCAACCGTTCCCTGGAGAGAGACCTGACCCTCTCCTCCGGCAGCCTCCCTCACCCAAAGGACCCCCGAAGCCCCGAGGGCCACTCACTGTTTTGGAGTCGAGCTCGTGCCGCGATTGCGCCAGCACTTTATCCACCCCCGCCTGGTCCATGAAAGTGACGAAGCCGAAACCCCTGCGCGGCGTAGTGAGGGAGAGGCAGATGGTTACAAGGCAGTGAGTGGCAGTGGTGGAGGGGGGTGAGCCGAGAGCAGGAGGAGGGGGTGAGGGGCTCACCTGGATCTCTTCGTCAGGGGGTCCCGCATCACCAGACACTCCTTCACCTCCCCGAACTGGCCGAAGTATTCGCGCAGCCCTTCTGTAACCACACACCCGCCTTCGGACCAACCCGG